TAACGCCCCTACGGCTGAAAGGGCGAGCATGTTTGGTGTGACGGGGATTCGAACCCACGACCCTCAGATTGCGAGTCGAGTGCCGTAACCACCTGGCCATGCCGGGTCAGCTGTAGTGGCACAAATACTTTTTCATTATATTTTTCATTTTCTAAAATTAAAATATTACTGAACATATATCCCAAGCAAATCACTGTGGTGGAAGAATTTTGATCCTACCTGTTAATACTGAGGGATCCTGTCACAGAAGAGTGCAGTCTTGAAATAAGTCATTTTTTTAAATTACACTAATAAATATCATAAGATAAAAATATACAAATGTATATTTATTTAAAATGTCAAAAACAAACCTGGAAACACTCTTTTCCCTGTTACTGCCATGATAGACAAGAACCTTTAATGCTCCTTTCTGGCAATGCTTTTTAACTTCACTGTGCCACTGATGTACTAAACAAGCAGGACAAATAATCAAGGAGGTGGTTGAATTAATTAGTCCTTTTCCACCTAAAAGCATTTCAAGTAAAATAATCAGAATAAGTAACCAAAGGAGGCAGTTGAGTTAATTAGTCCTTTTTTACCTAAAAGCATTTCAAGTTGAAAAATCAGGACAAACAATCAAAGAGGTGGTTGAATTAATCAGTCCTTTTCCACCTAAAAGCATTTCAAGTAAAATAATGTTAAAACTATATTAGTAGCATATCACACACAAGAACAAAAGAATGTAGTTTGTATTATTAAACTACTCCAAAGCTTCAAAATTTAAAAGAAAAAAAAACAAAAAAACAACTGTAGTGCTGAGCACAGCAAGGCACAAATAATACTGTTATGTTTCACTGTACGGTTTGACAAAGAGAAGCAATCATAGCCCAGGCTGAGGGGCAATATATATATATAATAGGCTTGGGATTATTTTGAGTTTTGCTCAATAGACAACCATGCACTAATAATTGAAAGCCAAAGATGTTTCAAAGAAATTCTGGCAAAAAGAGGCAATACATCAAACTGGTTTAAACATTTGTTTAACTGATACCTGGACCTCTTTACAGACATCAAAAAGTAGGTTTGTAAAGGATTAAATACTTGTCTTTATTCAATTAAAAATATGAACTAAAGGATTATTTCCAGTTATTGTAGTGACAAATGATATGGCATTTGTGGGTCTTAAGAATAACATGAGGCATTTCAGGAGGCAAAAGACATTTCTGCCCAGACTAATGTGCTCAAGGAACAACAGAGCAACAGTACTATTGGGCTTCAGCAGAGAGAGTTTTTACATGCAGTCTTTTTCTCATGCATTAACCAGACTCTCATTTTCTCCCCCTTTTCATTTTTTCACAACCCAATCATGCACTAAACATTCTCAATTGTCCAGTGTTTATTTAAGATGTGGCAATTACTATTGAAGATCACTAATATTTTGAAATACTTGAAGTGCAGTTGTGAAGAAGCCACCAACACACAACCTTACAACAATGAACAAGCAAATAATTATAACACATCTGCAGTGAAAAACTCAACTGCATCTAATATTGTTATAAAAATACAGGAATATGATAACAAAAAGATTAACTACCAGACAGTCCAACCCTGTAAGCAATGGACTGAACAAATTGCCTACGTGAAAATGGAGTAACATCCTTGGGTGAAAGAGAGACATGGTTGGAGCAAGAGAGAGTAAGAATGGGGCAGAGGAAGAGGGGGTCTGGATGCCCATTGATGAAGCAGAGAAAATCAGGGTTGTGCTGGCCAAAGAGGTGCCAACAGAACCCAACAATGAGTGTTGCATATCAAAGCAAGGACACATGGAAGAAGAGAATAGGTGGATAAGCATACAGGAAAAGGTGAGACCAGTCTTTGCTGAGAGCATCGACTGCCAAGGCCAAAGGATGAGGAATTAGGGATCCAAAGAGGATAAGTTTGGTGTTGAAAGTGGCAAAGACATTGATGAGAAGCATGCCTAACGAGAATAAACCCAACAAAAAACCTAAGGATGGAGAGAGCGCTCTGTAGTTAGAACACTGTCTGGTTGAGAGAGATGATTCACAACCAAGTTCAGAGCCCCTGGCATGTGACAAACCCTATGGGAATAAGTCTAAAATGGTAGGTCTAATGCATGGAGGCAAAGTGTCTTTGAATGGGTAACCCCCTGACAGTTGATATAAGAAATGACTGTGGAATTATCAGAGAGGATCATGACCAACTGATCTACAAGAAGAGAGAAGAAATGGGAAAGTGCCTGATGGATGGCAAGTTCAAGGACATTGACGTTTAGCCCACATGCACAAAGCTATGTAGTTGTTTAGAGATGACTTCCCAACAATTTGACAGAGAAGAGTCTGCAAAGAGAAGAAGGTCCTACTGGGGCGTAGCAAGGGAATGCCCAAGAAGAAGAGAGGGGAGGCATACAGTTGAGGGCAACGGATTCTGAGAAAGGTTCCAATGGTCCCTCAATTTCCACTGGAAGAGGCATATGTGTGTGTGTGTGGCCTAAATGAATGAGTGGTTCAAGAGAAGCCAGAGTTACCAAAATGAAAAAAAAACTTTGTGTTCAGGGTGTAAAAGAGATGCACAACCCCTTGTTGACACGACATACATTGCTTATAAGCAGTGGTGAAAGCTGAGCCCGACTGAGATGAGAGATGAAGACCATACTCAGATGTACCAAATATAGGGCAGGAGTGGGTCAGAAACATCCCTGAAGACCTCTGAGTGAAGGAATGGAGCCTGATGAAGCATACACTAGCTAGGAGAGTATCCCATTCCAACAATCCCCAACAGCAGAAAAGCAAGTAAGGACGGAAAGAACAGAAGTAGTAGTTGTATGGGTCAATGTGGTGAAAAGAAGAGAACAAACTTTTTCAAAAATCCCTCCCCCAGAATATGATAAATTGAAGTGACAAGAGGTAAAGTAGGAGGGTGATAAGAAAGAGATAAAGGCACAAAAATTGGGCACTAGAAAGGGAAATAGAAGAGGTCCACTTCCACAGTTGGGTAAAAGAGATTCCAAAGACTGGGAATCAAGAATGGAAATGATGAGCAACTCTAAGCCAGGACAGAAGAGTCAAGTAGACAAGAAAGATGAGGAGTGGTAGTACAAGCGTGCAGTAGTTTGAGAAACGAGCATGCATGAACCTTATTGTATGGTCAAAGTAGTCTTGGATATGGGTGTCAAGTAGTTAAATCACAGGGGGAAATCAAAAGAAAAGAACATACCTGCAAAATCATATTAAGGAAGAGATTGAAAAATGGTGAAGATTTTCCTCCACAGATAAATCTGTGCCTAAAGCAAACATTGGTAGGGTAAATAGCCAGTCAAATCATCATCATCCTGATCATGTTCAAATTAGGGAGAAGGGGCATTTGCCAAATACATGGGAGGAGTAGGCCCAATGTGTATGAAAGAACCCACAACATGTTGAAAAATGGCAGTCATGTTCTTCACTGAAAATGAACCCCCAGAAGTTACAGCTGTCGTGTTAGGAATATCATCACTACCACAGGAAAAAGCAGAAGTTACCATTACTTGTGAATTTATAAATTGTAAATTCTTTTTTTTTTGTTTTCTTTAGTAATAAAAGAAACCAGTGAAATTAAGTGAAACTATCTCAAATTTCAGGTAAATAATTAATAAATTTACAAACATGTCCATTCTAGACAACAAAGAAAAGAATGAAGTTATTTCAAATGCTTAAGGAAAGCTACTGCACAAAGAGGTTGTGTCACCCTTCTATTGGTGGAGGGCTGTCATCATGCATTAGCACAGTTCATGATAAACAAGTGATTTTAGGTGGAAGTTAGCTCAAGACTAGTGGCATACAAATCTCACAGACAGCTGCCCGAGGAATCAAGTTATTTTGTTTGTGGAGGTGAAGTATCTTCTCAGAAGAAGATAACTGTTGGTACATGTTAATTTTTATGGACATTTGGATTTCATACTATGGTCTGTTTCTGAATATCCTTTTTCACCAAAACAAACCATGGTATAAAAACCAAGTGTACAGAAAAATAAACATATACCAATAATTATCTTTTATCTAGAGCATTATAAAATTCAGTATAATAAGAAATGTGGCAAGTAAAGAACAAAAGATAACATCTAAATATGTTACTTCACACTAAATAGTGCTTCACACTCATCTGAAAAGCAAGACCAGAATATTCAGTTCATCATAGAAGAACATAATAGATACTGAATTTTCTGGTGGTGGATATTCATATGAGTACATAAATCCTTAAGTTTCAGTCCAGTGTAAGGCCAAATCACAAAGGTATAAACTGGTACCAAACATTAGGTTTTAGGGTTACTGTTTTAAGAAGTTTCCTTATAATGGGTAAAAGTGGAGAGACTATTGGCATCCTTTCAGTTATGTTATACCATTGTGTTCTAAAAGAAATAATCAGTGTTTATAAAACTGTTAGTAGAATTTTTAAAGATAACAGAAAAGCCGTGTGTGGTGTTACAAGGAATTGTAATTTTTAAGTTTCTCCAATACAATTAACAGAGTTTCATTTATGAGGCCATTTCTAAATACTATTTATATACATTGGTATATATGTGTGTGTGTGTGTGTGTGTGTGTGTGTGTGTGTTTGTGTATAATACATTAATTTTTTTGCATTTATTTTCACATTTGTAATCCACCACAAAACATTGCCAACTACAACTAAATTTAACAAAAATGCTTGTGGAAACTCTGTATTATAGAATACAACAATGATTATTTAACAAAAATGCAGCTTGCTGGATACAATCTTGTGTGTTCCTTAATTAAACACTTATTATCC